GCACCAGAGGGGCAACATTCTCATAGAGGAAATGCAGGATACACAGGAGTGCATAACTATGAGGGGCACGGGGGTGGGGGGTGAGGCAGGAGGTATTGGGAAGGGAGGGGAGGAGAGTGGGTTAGGGTTGGAGATGGTAATTGGGGAGTGAAACCAAATGTACATGAAATGTTGACTGTAAAACAAACTCTGCTCTATAAATTTGTACCTAAAGCAAAAACAAAACAAAACAAAAAAAAACTGACCAGAAGCCTCATTATGATGGAGCTTGCATTCTACTGGGATGGGATAAATAATAACATAAATTAGCAAAGTATGTTATATGTTAAGCAAAAAAGAGAGGAAGCCAGAGAGGAATGTAGGAAGTTCTAGAGTCAGGTAAAAATTTTCAATTTCACCAGGGTGATTACTGAGAAAGTTGTACAGCTGAAATAGCCTGAAAATCTAGGAGAAGAACACTCAAGGTAGAATGAAGAACAAAAACAAAAACCACCAGGCCAGAGCAGGTCTGCTATCCTAGCATCAATAAGAAGACCACTGCAGCTGGAATGGAGATATCAGGAGAAAGGAGAAGAGTAATAGGAGATAAGGGCAGAAAAGTGACAGAGAATATATTAGAAAAAAAAAGGAGAGTGTTGAGAGGGGAAGACATTTGTGTCAGGCAGGTAACTTTACCTTCAGTTTTCCTAAATAATGGTGCCAACCCTGTTCAGAATGATTTTCTATGATTCTTTTTTATAACTTGTTTTGTTTTGTTTTATTTGTTGATGAGAATATATACACAGCAGAACATACACCAATTGAACAATTTCTCCATGTACAATTCAGTAGCATTGATTATATTCTTCAAGTTGAGCAACCATTCTCATGCTCCTTTTCCAAGTTGTTTCTCCCTTATTAACATAAACTTACTGCCCTTTAAGTTTCCTATTTAATCTTACGAGTTGCTGTTGTCAGTTTGATTCCATATAGATAGATAGATCTTAAAAAAGTACAATGCTCAAAGCAGATATTCTTTACCACTTAAGCTAAACCGGTGTTCAATTTTAAGATGTCAGGGAATATTTTTGGTTTAAGGTTTAAAGATTATCTGAGGGGCAATAATTTCAGGGTTCTATTCAGCCTCCATGACTCCAGAAAGACTTGATTCCATGAAAATTTGACCTGTTCTGCATTTCCTCCCTTTTGATCAGTATTTTCTATAGAATCTTTGATCAGAATGTTCAGTAATGGTACCCTGGTGCCTTCCAGTTCTGATTTCATGACAGAGGAGGCAGTTGTTCATAGAGGCCATTAGCCACACATTCCATTTCCTCCTGTTTTGGACTCTCCTTCTTCTGTTGCTCCAGGAAAATAGAGAGCATTTGTTGTACCTTGAATGGTGCTTGCAAACTTTTAAGACCCCAGGCACTATGCAGTTGAACTAGGAGATAGAATAGAAACACTAACCATGATATTAAGCCAGTTAACTGGGATGTCCCATGAAACCATGACCCTAAACCTCAAAACTAAGGAGCCACATCCCACTAGGTGTTTGGTGTACATAAGCATCCTCAGCACCTACCTTTTTTTTTTTTTGGTCATTGTTGTCAGTGTTGTGTATCACACAACTGATGCCAATTCAACTTTTTACAGATGTACAACTTATTGATAGCAGTTACATTAATTGGCTGTGCAAACCTAACCTTAATTTGATTTTTCCATTACTGTAAACCTAAACTTGGTAACCACCACCCTCTCTCCACCCTGTTTCTGTCCTCAGAAACCACTAATAAACTTTGGTCTCTGTACAGTTACCTCTTCTTGTCTTTTTATATAAGTGAGGTCATTCAATATTTGTTCCTTTGTGATTGACTCATGTCACTTAGCATAATCTCTTAAAGCTCCATCCATATTTTAGTATTTATCAAGATTATTTTCTGCATTTCTTAAATACCAAAATCTCTATGGATAGTTTAAATATTTAAATGGTTAGATCTAGAAGGAACCTCAGAGTGCATCTAGCCGGTTGCTTCATTTTAAAGGAAACTGTAGAAGATGTAAAATGGGATAAATAATGACAGAAGATCACTTGCTCTTGATGCCATGTTCTTTGATTTATACTACCCTGTCCCAGCAGGGAATGTTAAGAGGGAAGGTGGCTTTATAACTAAGTCATCTCTGAAGCTCATTATCTTCAAGTGCTGACAGATAATTCTTATGTGGTATGTGTCTTGCAAGTTTTGCAAGTTTTGAGTCTTGACCACTCTTGAATGACTCATCTGAAGTTAGTTCATATTTTCATTCTCCTCCCTACACTTGTTGATTAAAGTGCTGTGTTCTTTCTAATTGTCCATTTTAGCCTTCTGCTGCTCTTGGAACCCTTAGATGTGTGTTGACTTTTGGGATTTTTGTTAGTTGTATTTTATGATTAATATTCCTCTGACTGTTGAAATTTCTCTTGTTTGTCATGTTAGTTACCAGTGTATTGCTTGTTTGTAAATTGTATGTATCAATTAAAAAAAAAAAAAAAAAAAAAACAACCTCACTGTTGTCGATTCAGATCCGACTCATAGCAACCCCTCCTTGGGTTTCCGAGGTGGTATCACTATGGAAGTAGATTGCCTAACCTTCCTTCTGAGGAGTGGCTGGTGGGTTTGAACCACCAGCATTGATTATTAAAACAATTTAGAGAGAAACTGGATTTATGAGAAATTTGACCATTATGAATCTAGACAAACTACATAATTGAGGTGATCACAGTGCAGGCTTCTATTTCCGTTATTCAGGATTTTCTTTGACTTCCTTTAGATAACCAAAGCAAAAACCAAGCCTGTTGCCATTAAGTCAATTCCAAGCAGAATTTTCAGAGCAGAATTGCATATAAGGTTTTCAGTGGCTGTGATCTTTTAGAAGTAGAATGCCAGCCAGGTCTTTCTTCTGGGGCACATCTGGGTAGATTTGAACCACTAGACGTTAGTCAAGTGCTTAATTGTTTGCACCACCTAGAGAAGTCATAAATTTGATCCTTTTGTCTTACCTTTATGGGCCCTAGCTTTTTCTGGTAGTATGCTTCCAGGGTTTTACTTAACTCTCTTTAACTGAAAATGAGTACTATAAAGTTTCAATGTATTTTACAAAGAGGAAGCATGGGGTAATATTTAATAAGTATATGGGAAGAATTTAATCAGGAAAAGAATAGAATTTAGGTGAATGGCCTTATTATAAGATGTTGTTGTTGTTGTTATGTGCCATCGAGTTGGACCCAACTCATAGTGACCCCTCCTCCTTGGGTTTCCGAGGCAGTATCACTATGAAAGTAGATTGCCCAACCTTCCTTCCGAAGAGTGGTTGGTGGGTTTGAACCTCCAGCCTTCTGGTTAGCAATCAAGTGCCTTAGGCACTATGCTACCAGAGCTCCCTATTGTAGGATATATTGGATTAAATGTCTTAGCAAAGTATTGTGCCTGAAGAAAGGTGAAAGAAAACAGTTAAGAAAAACATTTTGTTCTTTTCTGTGAAAAGTTTCTATTTCCACATCCAGTATTGTTTAGTCCTGCTAGCATTGCAATTAGAACATGAGAAATAGTCGACTCACCCATATTTTCACAAATACTGTCACTACAAAATGGCATCAGTCACTTAGCTTTGTACTTCTAGAGGATAGCTGACATAAAATTCATGGGAAAAAATTCTCTTAAATTACAAAGATTCGTAATAAACACAAGACATGGAATTACAGTGCCCAAGACATTGTGCTGGATATAGTGGGAATACCATGATGCATAAATGAACCCCTATGTTGCGGGAGTTATGACCCAATAGAGGTGAGACTTTTTACACTGATTACTATAATGGAACCCAGCATACTGTAAAGCCATACATGGAATGCAGAGGAAAATATTTTTACTTCAGGCTCATGTGATAAGGAAGAACACAGATTTTGGTGCGGTAAAACATAATTAGATATTGTTAGCTGCAGTAGAGTCATCCCAGACTCATGGATCAGACTGTTGTAATCCATTGGGTTTTTATTGGCTGATTTTCAGATACAGATCACGAGACCTTTCTTCCTAGACCGTCTTAGTCTAGAAGCTCCACTGAAATCTGTTCAGCATCATAGCTACACGTAAGCCTCCACTGACAGAAATAGATGGTAGAAAAATATTCCAATTGTTAGAATATATAACTGCTCAGAAAAGCCCAGAGTATCATACTATGGAGATGAAGAATGGACAGGAGCCACTGGAGGCAGCCTTGATTGTGGGTCTATGTTAAATTACTAAGAAAGGTCATTTCAGAGGTAGGCTAGCTGAAGAGCTGAAGGCTTGTACAGATGCAGACAGCCTGTTCTCTTTGAACATGAAAATTAAAACTGATACTGAGATTTTATAAGTAAAACTTTGTAAGATTAAATTTTTAAAATTTGCTGTATCATTTCTGGAGCTATTGGTCAAACATTTATTCATTGATACTTTTTTAGAAGTTTGTGTTACTTTTTCTATTAGGAAAAAAGTTTCAGTGATTATTAGCTTTGACACTGAATTCCTGAATTTCCACTGCTCTCCTGGGATCCAAAAGTTGTTCTAAAGTCGTCAGACCAGAGTTTACAGAGGATGGCTGAATTTCTTTAGCCATTTCATGTGATAAATACATTTACTTTCCTGTTCAGTCCTGTTCCATTTTAGGGAAGCCAAGACTTAGAAATACAGCTAATGCATTTTTCCTTTGGAAAGTTTTTGGACAGGTTTTAACCTGCATACTTTTCTTTGCATCACGTTTTATTAATATACTTAATTATAATTCTGCAAAAAAAAAATTGGTTATGTGCATGCTAATAGAAGCAATCAAATGTTAGCATAACCTTAATTTAATGGGGATAATAATTTGTGGTTTCTGATTCTTTCTTGTATGATTACCTTTACTTGAAAGTTTTATGGTTAACAAATGTAATTATTTTAAGGTGTTTTACCATAATAGGAATTTATCCTTAATACAGATATTTTATTTACTTCTTAAAGGATTTTCTTCAAGGGATAGTACACCTTTAATGCAAGAAAAGACAGTAAGTGCAGCCACACATGCTGTTGGTGATGAAGAGGCTGCTGAAGTAAATGCTAATGAGCAACCTGAAGCCCCAAAGGTAGTTCTGCAGTCTCTGTTCTCCCTCATACGAGGTGAAGTTGAGCAGTTGGATTCAAGGGCACTTCCCCTTTGCCTTCATCAGGTACAACTATAATCCTTCACTTTTAAACTCATTAAAATTCTGGTACCAGTGTTTGGAATAATCTAAAATCTAATTCTCCTTGATTAATTTAGTCTCACTTGTTATTAGGGAGCCCAGAGAGAGGTGGCCCTGGGTCCATGGCTGGTGGGAAATTTGGTATTTTAATGACTGGTGGCTAAAAGCTGGTGGCCTTGGGCAATCCATCGTTCAGACAATGGCTAGCTCCTTTTATATAGGGACTAAGGGAGCTCTGATGGCGTAGTGGGAGCTCTGGTGGCCTCCTGCCTAAGGCATGTGACTGTTAACCAGAAAGCTGGCAGTTCAAACCCACCAGCCACTCCCTGGAAGGAAGGCTGGGCAATCTACTTGCGTATTGATACCTCCTCGGAAACCTAAGGAGGGGTCACTATAAGTTGGATCCAACTCCATGGCAGTGGGTTTGGTTTTTTAGTGTTAAGCTGTGCGCAAGTCAGACTCAAGGGAGCAGATACTTAGTAAGCACCAACTAAGTGCCAAGAACAATACTAGACACTGGTGAAAGCTACTGAACAGGGTATGTTCTTAGGAGGAGAAAGGCCTGGTGATGCAATAGTTAAAGCACTCAGCTGCCAGTCAAAGGTTGGTTTGAAATCCACCAGCTGCTCTGCGGGAGAAAGATGTAGCAGTCTGCTTCCATAAAAATTTACAGCCTTGGAAACTGTAGGGTGGTTCTACTCTGTCTGTAGGGTCTCAGTGAGTCAGAATAAATTCCACAACAGTGGGTTTGGTTTTCTTAAGAGAGAGACTGTGAAATAGATGAAGCAGTTAGGTAGATAAATAATTATAGTATTTATCTACCTAAATTTAAACATATGCCTACTCTAACACTGTAAAGTGTTAGAGTAGGCATATGTTTAAATTTCTGACATAGTGCAAAATGAGTGATGAACTTTTGTCTTGTAGGCAAAGAAAGTGACTTTTGAGATGGGTTTTGAAGGATGAGTAGCTCAGTAGATGAACAAAGTGAGCTAGTACATGAATAAAGACCAGCCTGTGGAGAGGGATGGCTATATTGTTGGAGATTAAGATGGAAAAGAGATTGGAGAGGAGATTGGATAGCTGATGACATTAAGGCCTTTTAGGGACTGTGAGTTGTTGGCTGTGGGAGTACAGAAATTGAATTTTATAAACATAACTCCACGATAACCAAAAAAACCAAACTCATTGCCATTGAGTTGGATCTGACTCCTAGAGACCCATCCTTAGATTTCTGAGGTGGTATCACTACAGAAGTAGATTGCCTGATCTTCCTTCTGAGAAGTAGCTGATGTTTGAACTGCCAGTATTCTGGTTAGCAGTCAAATGCCTTAGGCACTATGCCGCCAGAACTCCTAACTCCATGATGATGATGTTGTTATTTGCCATCGAGTCACCTCCTTGGGTTTCTGAGGCAGTATCACTACGGAAGTAGATTGCCCAACCTTCCTTCCAAGGAGTGGCTGGTGGGTTTGAACCGCCAGCCTTCTGATTAGCAGTCAAGTGTGTTAGGCCCTATGCTACCAGATAGGAAGAGTAAATTAGAAGATGGAGAGTACTGGAGACTGGGAGGCCTTTTAGGATAGTGCTAAAGAAACTTTTTTACACAAGAGATAATGCAAGAAAAACTAAGGTATTTTTGAGCTGCATCTTATTTTCACTTAAAATGAAAATAACTGGTATATGAGAATAGAGAAAGTTTCCCTTTTCATTTTATTTACTTCTATTTTATTTTAGCTTTGGCAATGAGCTATGAGTAATTAGCATCTTTTAAAAAATAAAAAAGCCAAGGGGGAAACATGTACATGCTTACACATTTATATTACCTACTTTATTGACTTGAAGAATGCCTTTGAGAAATAATGTAGATTCTGCAAAACACTGCATAATGTGGATGAACTTGGAGGATGTTATGCTGAGTGAAATAAGTCAATCACAGAAGGACAAATATGTTTTAGTCCACTATTGTAAAAAGTCAAGGAAAAAGTTGATTCACAGAAGGAAACTTTGTTGGTTACCAGGGATGGGAGGGGAGGGGAGGGGAGACTAAATTCCTAGATAGGTTTAAAAATATATAGAGAGAGAGAAAGAGAGAGAGAAACTAAAGATTGTTAGCAGTTACCAGGGGTAAGAGAGAGGAGAAAAGGGGAAGGTTTTGTTTGTGGGACATTGAGTTTATGCTAATGGTGGTGGTATATTTTAGAAAAAGATAGCAGTAATGGTAGCATAACATGAAAAGTGTAATCAATGCCCCTGAGCTGTAAATGGGGAAGTTGTTATGTTGGCAAATGTCTTGTTGTGTATGTTTTCATTACAATAAAACTAAAAAGAAAAAAGGAATGCCTTTGAGAAAATATGTGCTACTTTTTGGCCACTAACATGACTGATTTGCCATAGTTGAGAAGTACCCACAGCAAGGCAGCGTTCAGCCTTTCTTATACTTGTGCAGTGATGTGAGTTTGCAAAGTGTATTCATACTCACTGTAATTTCATTTTCCAAACAATCTAGAGAAGAGGTATTGTCATCATCTGTTCATAAATGGGAAAACTGAGACTTCCTCACAAAACAAGTTCTTTGTAACGCTAGGGCTAGAATTTGTTTATTCCATTCACTGCATCTGTTTTGGAACAACTGAGGGAAATTTCAGTATGGGCTGCATGTTAACTAATATTATTGTATCAATATCTAATTTCTTGGGGGCTAATAAAGGCATAGTAGGTTATAGAGATGAGTTTCCTTGTTTTGGGGATACACATGTACAAGCAAGTATTTAGGGGTAAAATGTTACAGTACCTGCTACTTCCTTAAAATATTTCAGTGGCAAATATATGTGAGAAGAAGAGACAGAGAGAGAAAGCATTTGGCAAACTTGTCAACAATTGATAAATCTAGGTAAAGATAAATGAATGTTGATGTTACTTACTGTTCTTTGAACTTTTCTATAGGATTTCAATAAAAACTCAATTAAAACAAAAGATTTGAAATAGATGTAGAAATAGCAAGTATGGATAAATCTTTTCAAGGCATTTGCATCACTGTGTCCTTGTTACATTAAAAGAAGAATGCTTTTTTCTATTGTCAGGTAGTCCTACAGCAGAAGCAAAGCTAGTAGAAAATCATGTTTTTAGGCTGTTAGATGATAACAGTCTTGATCCAACCTGAATATTCTTTCATTTTTTTATGTTTCAAAATCAAATTCCACCCCCAACCCTAGGCACATATCAATTTGTTGAGTCCTGTAGATTATGCTTCTTAAATATCTTAGTAGTGTGTTCTCTCTTGGGAGAGGAGCTTAGAGAATATGTGGTGGTTTAAGAGTGTGGGCTTTGGCTCTGCCCCTAACAAGCTAAGTGGCTTTCAGTTTCTTCTCCTATAAAGTTGTAGAGGATTAAATGTGATGATGAATGTAAAAGCATTTAACATAGTGCTTGGTACACAGTAAAAGCCAAATAAATATTAAGCATTATACCTATACGCTCATTGCCACTAATTCAAAGATTGCTTGCTGGAAATGAAGGGTAGGGATCAGCAAAGAGATGTTAAAACTTTCACTAAGCTGAGAAATCAGGCAACAGGACTCAGCTAATGGGTGCCCTGCTCAGCTCGAGAATAGAAAAAGCTCTTATAGCCTTCCTGAGGGGAATGGAGCTACATTATATTAATTTCAGTAATTCCCAGCCCCTTACACCGTGCCTTCCACTTAGATTCACTAGTTGTTGACATTCTGCCAAATTTATTCCCTTCTATGTGTCTCTCTCTCGTGCACACATTTTTTCCACAAAAAAAACATTTTTTTAATGTAAGTTGAATGCATTATGAAACTTTACCCCTAAATGTTTATACATGTATCTCCCAGAAACAAGGACACTCTTCAACATAACCTACAATGCCATTTATCAATTCCAAGAAATTAGACATTGATATAATAATATGGCATAGTGCTTAAGGCATTTGACTGCTTAAGGCATTTGACTGCTAACCAGAAGGCTGGCGGTTCAAACCCACCAGCCACTCCTCAGAAGGAAGGTTGGGCAATCTATTTCCGTAATGATAATGCCTCGGAAACCCAAGGAGAGGTCACTATGAGTTGGACCCAACTTGATGGCAGTGAGTTTTGTTTTTTGTTTTTTATAACAATTAATTAATATTCAACATGCATTTAAATTTCCCCAAAATTGTCCTCAAATTACCTGTTCTAACTTTTTTTCTTTTAATCTAGAATCTAGCCAAGGATAACACATTGTATTTGGCTGTCAAGATTCTGTAACCAACCAGTTGCTGTGGAGTTTACTGTGACTCATGGTGACCCCATGTGTATCAGAGTAGAATGTGTTCCATAGGATTTCCAATGGCAGATTTTTCAGAAGTAGATCACCAGACCTTTCTTGTGTAGTACCTCTGGGTGAACTCAAACTTCCAACCTTTCTGTTAGCAGCTGAGCATGTTAACCTTTGTACCACTCACTACTCCCACTAAAATTGCATTATAAAAGTCAGCAGTGACCCCCATGTTGTCAAATCCAGGGGTTGATTCTCAGTTTCATTTACTGGAGCTATTAAAAGTATTTGAGCAGTTGATCTCTTGTTCTATTTTAAGTCCATTATTTACCTTTTTGGACACCTTACTCTTGCCTTTCACCTTTCTCCTCACTGCCTCTGCCTTCTCATGGTGGTTTGTTGGTCTCCCACATTTCACTAATTTTTAAACATTGAAGTGACTTAGCATTCAGTTTTTGATCTCTTCTAATCTGTATTCCCACGACTCGTCTGTCAGTTTGTCATACTGTGGTAGCTTGTGTGTTGCTGGGAGGCTGGAGGCTATGCTACCAGTGCTTCAGATACCAGCAGGGTCACCCTGTAGTGAAAGGTTTCAGTGGAGCTTCTAGACTGAGACAGACTCAGAAGAAGGAAGAGTCCATTTACTTCTCAAAAAATTGGCCAGTGAAAACCTTATGAATTGCAGTGAAACACTGTGATATATTACT